ACACACACACACACACACACACACACACACACACACACACACTTCCTTCTAAACTCCGCAGCCTCTTCACTCCCATCCTGGTCCCACGCCCTGCAGCGATGCCGGGCTGCATTCGCGGACACTAGCGCCTTGTCGCTCGCTTGCAGAATCCGTGGGGCAGCGGAGAGGGGGCTTGGGGAAAGGCGAGGGGGGGGGGAGAGAAGAGTTTGATTTAAGGAACCTGCTTTGGATAAACCTCTCCCACCCTTCTTTCTCATTCGCCCCCCTCCTCCTTCCATATTAATGAGGCTAGCCAAGGGGCGGGGATTGGTTCAGTGCCCTGCCCCCTTTCCAGGCACTTGTCTGGAGCTGGGGGTGGTGGTGGGTGGGGGGGGGTGTTTGCATTTCTCCGCAGGACCGGCTCTCCTCTTTGCAGCGCATTGTCTGGGCATGAGACTCACACCCAGGGGAGCGCAGGCTGGCTGGGGCTCGTGGGCTGTGCCTCTGATCCAGCCCCCGCGCCCTCCCCTTTCCCCCGCCCCTCCCAGCGCAAATTCATTACTGGATTAAAAAAATAAAATAAAATAAAAAAGTTTGCAGCCCCCTCCTGCCCGCCCCCGGCGATGTAGCAATGGGAAATTCCTTCACGGCACAGACCGCGCCAATGCCTTGTGCAGGGGCAGCCTGGAGACGCGAGGCGGCGAAGGGAAGACTAGGGAGGGATTTTTAATTCCTGTTGGAGACATCAGACCGTGTGTGAAGGGGCAGCTTAGCTCCCTTTGGTCCATTGCATCGCTTGGCTTGCTCACCACCTCCTTGATTCAAGCAGATCGCGACTGCAGTTGTCTTCAGCCCCCCACCCCTCAGCTCCCACCCCCTTTGCCTTGCTCACCTGGGAAGGTGAAGAATGCATCTCCAATATTGGGACGGATCCTTGCTGCAATGGTAAGCTCTGGTCCCTCTTCCTTCCAGCGCGTATTGTACTTGGCTTGCAGCCTTTTCTCCCCTCGCTTGCTGGGGCTCTCTGCTTAGCTGGAGACCGGCTGCCAGCTGAGAGCTAACCGTGCCATGCTTTAAGTTGAACCCTGACTTGACCAAGTCGGTCCCTTTATTGTAGTCCGTAAAGGACCACAGGGATGCGGGAAAGGAAGCAGTCGTATGAATTGTGTTGTGTTGCAGGAGTGACACTGATTTGCTCGCTTTCCCAGTTCCTGGATGGGAATCACACACACAAGCGTCTTTCTGCCGCCAGCAACCCCGGCATGCAGCTGTGGGGTGGTGGTGTGGGTTTTTTTTTTCCTTTAAAAACAAACAACTGGGAACAGGCTAACGTGTGGTTGGTATGTGGATCACGTCTGGTTTTAATGCAATATGGCTGGTAAATAAAACCTGATTGCTAACAGATCCAGGGCTGCGATTGGTATTTTCCTGGCTTAGCACTCCCTTGCACAGTTCTGCATCTTCATTCACCTGCCGCAGCAACTCTGAGTCGCCCTTCTACCAATGCGCCAAAAGGGTTAGCGAGACTTCTCTGGTTTTACTATGAAGTAGTAGCTAAAATCTCTATTCTTGTACTATAGTGTGTGTGTGTGTGTGCGGGGGAGGGGGGGGGCTTTCTCTTATCCGTATTTGAACAGCTTGTTCCAATGTTTCCATCTCTATGCAAACCACATTAAAGTCAGAGCTAACAAACAGGACTTCTCATCTTACTGCTGTGCTGTGCTGTGTACCTGCCATGTGCAGTGTTTGGGGCTGTGGTTGTACTGGGATCTTATGGTTTACATCAATAGCAGAGACTAGTTAATGCGTGGAGATATAGCTATAGTATTAGGAGAGGTGGGTAGATTTCTTTTTTAGTTACATGTTGATATTTGTGGCCTGATGCGCATCTTACTAGGGTGTGGACATGTGGAGGAACTCCTCTGAAGACAGTGGATTTCCTCTGGTTTAAGCTGGGGTGAGAACAGAATCTGTCCCTTCACTTGCAAAACATGTGGGGGCATCATTGCAGATACAACCACCAGACAAAAATCAATCCAAGCACAGTCAAACTGTAAATACCTTTATAATATTTTAATATCCTTTGTGATTGCTTATACAAGGCATATGTCGTGCAGTTGTACCCATCTATAAATTGATTGAAGCGGGTTATTTTAAATCTGACAAAGTACACATACATGGATTTTTTTTGTGTTACTCTGTTTAGATACGCCTCAGTCTCCCTTCTGCATTCCTATACCTCATAGGCTGGCTAAAATTGGGGAAACAATTGATGGGAACATAATTTTTTAAAAAGTAAATAGATGCTCGCTGTATATTATTACTGTCAGCTGGACCGGGAGGGTGAACTCCTTAACCTGATATAACTATAAATACACAGAGAGACTACTTTTGACAGGCTTCTGTGTTCATATAATGCAAAAATTCACTCCCGGAAGCTCTGTGCTTCAAAGAAGTTTCCCAGTGGATGGACATAACAAAACAGTTACATTCTGATGAAGAACTGAAGAACGTCATTTGCTGTAATGATTTGTAGATTACAAGGCCATAAGGGGCCATTGTGATACGGACTACTTGTACAGCACAGACTGTAGAACTTCCCCAAAATTATTCCTAGAGCAGATCTTTTAGAAAAACAGCCCATCTTGATTTAAAAATGATCAGTGATGGAGAATCCACCATGACGCTTGGTAAATTGTTTCAATGCTTAATTACTCTCGCCATTAAAAACGTATAACTTATTTCAGATTGAGTTTCTCTAGCATCAACTTCCAGCCATTGGACTGTGTTATTCTTTTCTGAGCTAGTCTGAAGAGCCTATTATTAAATATTTGTTCCCCACGGAGGTTCTTACAGACTATAATCAAGTCACCCTTTAAATTTCTCTTTGTTAAGCTAAATAGATAGACTCAGAAGAACTCAATCATTATAAGGCATTTTTTTTCCTAATCATATAATCATTCTCATGGCTCTTCTCTGAACCCTCTCCAACTGACTAACATCCTTCTTGAATTAGGGGCATAATTAGAAGATATGGTCTGAAATTTTTCTGTCCGTATCTTAGCTACCGTTCAGTTTTTTGTCCATGTTTGGCTGAGGGCAGCAATTGTTGATGTATTGAAACTGAAGGTCAAATAGAATTGATCTGGCAATCACTTGTGAGGACATGGCATGGAAGGCTTTTTGTTCTGTTTATTAATGTGAACGCGTGCATGCTTTAAATGTGTTGCAGTGAGCAGGATTGCTGCTTGAACTGATTCGACTGGTTGGTTCTCCTGGCTAAGCAGAAGGAAAGCCTGCTGGGCCAGTTGATTTCTCTTTGAATAGGGCTGCTCTGTAAATAACGGAATACACAGTGGCTAATCAGGCTCTGATGTTCCATCATTCCTTGACAACACAACACTTAGAGTGTACCTTTTTCCTCATGCATTTAATATCTGCCGTTTGCACTACAGATTTACAGCCGCACGTAGCCATCTAGAAGTGCTCTACTCTGCACATATCTGGAGGGTGTAAACACCAAGACAGGAGAGGAATTGTTTAGGATGCTATCAGGACGAATAATTGGAAGGGTTGGGGGGACATTAAAATTAGGAACATTTACATGAAAAGTGAAGGGGAACCTTCCAAATAGCAATATCTCTTAGATTGTGGAATACTCTACTGGCCACTTTCAAGCCCTGGTTCCTGACTGCTCTCTTTGTATTCGGGCTTTTCTCATCCCAGCTCAGGGCAGCCAGCATTCTGGGGGCAGTGTTTTGGGGACGGTTTTCCTGTGCCTCTGCCTTTGACCATTTGTTCCAGCAAGAGACCTGATACTGCCCCATCTGAATACAGAGGATTGGGTTGTTTTTTAAATTCCCTCTGAGCACTTAGCACAAAGTAAGTCTAACTCCAAAATTATCTTTTAATAAAACCCGGTTCTTAAAGTTAAGGAACAGAGAAAAGTCAAAGCAAATCCAAGGCAGGTAATGTACTGTAATTCTTATCTGATCTACAGTCTAGGTGGAAGTCTTCCTAGAACAGGTCAGATTTTACAGTTACTACTGATTTAAGCCGAAGTGCATTCAGTGGGGTAGATCCTCAGCTGGTGTAAATTGGTGTAGCTCCTTGGATTTCACTTACTTGGATTTATCCCAGCTGAAGATATGGCCCCTAGAGTTCATATGTGACAAGTCATTTCCATTAGCATATCAGTCTGACCTTAAAGTCAGCAAGGAGTATTCTCCCAATGGCTTATGCCCTCTTGTTTTTACTGCCTGTGCCCCTTTGATGTTTAAATCTGAATATCCTGTATTACCATTTTAGGCATGAAGGGTGTGATTCTCCTCTCAGTTAGGGCCTGATTCAATGCCCATTGACATCTCACTAGGAACGGAGTGACCTTTTACCCCAGTGCAAATCTAGAGCAACGACGCCACTGAAGTCAGTGACGTCACACAAGTGTGGGTCTGTTTCTCCTTGTCCTTACCCCACTTTTAAAGTCATCCTTTGTGGCAAAATACAGGCGTAGGTGCTGGAACTAGGGGTGCTGGGGGTGCTGCCGCACCCTGTAGCTTGAAGTCGTAATAATAACCCAAATACCTGGTTTCCACCTTCAGCACCCCCACTGCAAAAATGGTTCCAGCAACCCTGCATATAGGCAAGGACAGTCACCACACCACTGACTAAACTTATGACTCTGGGTTCCTTAATTCCCCCTGACCTTTATTCTGATATTTAATGAAGCTCAGCATCCCTTGAGAAAGCTTTACAATTCCCTCTTACTTTAACATGCAGCACTTCAAAGGAATCCTTTGAACCTGAGTGTGTTTGGTAGCTGTACACAACATATACTAAACATGGGCATTCACTCATCTGCTGTGACTGTCTGCAAAGCTCTGTGTCCCTTTGGATGCCAGTTGTTAGAGCGGATTGGAAAAATGAGGGGGGTAAGAAATTCATACATTTTTGGCAGATTTTTCACCTTTTTCTGTTTTCTTGTTTGATTTTTATTTGGTCATTTTCTGATTAGCTCTAATAAATTATGCTATCTCGTTTTATGAAATCTTCTAGCTGTCCTTGCTTGGACATTTACATAATGACAAAATTTAAACCCTCAAGAAACATTTTTAAAGTTACTAGGGGCCAGATTCCCAAGCCCTTTTTCATGTGCTGTAATACCTCAAACATGTATGTGGGTGAGGCTACATGGAGAGACAAGGCGATCGGAATCTGCACCATATGTTTTTAATAATTCCAATGTATATCTCACGAGCAGGAATTGGATTGTCCCATCTCCCAAAGGATGATGTGGAAGCCCTTTGTCCAAGACAGCTGAAACTAGAATGGATAATGTGCTGGAGAATATAATGTGGGAAACAATCATGAACGGCTACAGGGATGGAGCGAATAGTACCCTTCCAGCGTTTTGCTGCTCTGAGTCTGTGATAATAGTACTATCCATCTGAGTTATTCTAATACAGTTGCCTTATCATGGTGAGCTACTCAGCCTTTAGAATCTTAGTTTCTCCACTCAGAAGCCAGATTATTGCTTTGCAAATCAATGTGACAACCATATTACCACTTCATTTCAGTGATACCGTTTGCACCACCGTGGGTAAGTAAGTGTGTGACAATTTTTCCATTATAATTCTTTTTTTTAGGGCATATATTATGAATCTCGGCTGAAACTATTCAGACATGATGTTACTTTACAAAATACATTTTTAAAAAAGTTTGACATTATATTACTTTAGGGTGCATTTAAAAAAAAATCATGTTAGAAAGTGTGAAAACATCTATTTAAAACAGGTGATTTTATAAATGTTTGTTTTAAAAAATCCTAACAAATCTAGATTGTTCATGTAACTTTTTCCTTCCGACAAAAATGACATTGCTTAATTATTTTTTGGTATGTATTTAAATTAATCACTTTGGAAATATTAAGATTTAAAAGTTTCCCATTGCACAGGGCTATTTCTGACACAGATATTTAAGATTTATCTGTCCGTTGTTAATAA